TGGGTAGTAGGCTGGGCGAGTGGAGGGGCGCAGGATAAAAATTTGCCGTTTCAGCGGGCGTATATACTCCCCTAGAAAAGGAAGTAGTGGGAGTATAGGTAAAAAATGGGTTGAAATGGTGGAAATAGAAGGAAATTTTCGGAGATATTTACCGTTTCAGAGTGACTATATATACCCCCCGCTCGACGGCATTTTTGGAGGAAAAAGTGGGCGGAGTTTGGTGGGTTGAGTGGTATCAGAATTAAATACTATAGAGACGATGATGGTGGTCGAGGTGTCGAAAAGGGGGTCGTATCAAATCCACCTTGGGGGAGGGGGGTCGTAAAAATTTTTCAAAAAGTAACAACGATAGGACCGACCCTGCTCGAACCCCACCCAGGCTAACTGTTATCCCCCTAGTTGATTAGTTGCTCCAAGAAAGGATAAGTGCTGGACAAATCAAGGAGTGACTCTCTTTTGGGAATAAGTCTACCACTGAAACTCAAAGAACTTTCGTCACTGTGATCCCATAGTGTGGAATTGGGCGATTGCGAGATCATGAGCTCATTACTATTCTATTTACAATCGGCAATAATGAGCTCACCATGGCGATTTGACGATCGAGGTTCTGGAACGGTGCTTTTGTGTACCGATTGCGACAATAATATAATAGAATATAAGTAAGAGAAGAGAAATAGAATCGAAAACTTATAATCTCATGCGGGATCAGTACAAAGGTCTAAGTGCAGTATGAGTAACTGCCCTAGTCTCTTTACATTTTATGCACAAATAACAGTCTTGAAGTACTCCACCCAACGACGTGTAAACGTAAATTGTACGGTCAGTTACCAAAGCGATCAAGAAGATACATAATATATGAAACAGATCGCACTGAGTAATAATGACAAAAATACCTGTAAAGTGCTACAATTGCTACCAGAGACAGGACGCTGGCACTTCGCAGGTATCCTTTCCCTTCCATCTGCAACACAAATCTCACAGAACTTAACAACTCAATTTTCGTGGAATTTTCTAGAGCAAAATGGAGAAAGACGAGAGGTAGCGATGATCTGCAGTTCCAAATACCTGTAGTAGCATCCGCAATCGTGAGGCGACTTTACGAGACAAAGACGCCGGCTCATGGTCCGCGAGTGTTCATCTGCCGTTCCAGCGATTTGGCCACCGGTTGAGTGACACATTGTTGAACTGATTCCAATAGTGCGAGAAAAACCTCAGATTTTTATGAATTATGTTTTAGACCTCTGAGATTGTCAAAAATGCACCATATTGGTTCCTCGTAGTGTGATCAAGATCGACAGAAATGGGAATGGAATCAAGCTCTTCAGGCCAAATTGACTTTTTTCAAGCCAAGAAGGCAAACCTCTTCACGTCAATTCGGTGACCTTCCATGAACGAGTACAGGGGTCTTCAGTTCTACTAAGGAATTTGACATGTTTTCGAAACCTTTTCAGTACTTGGAGTAGCACCATATACCTGTCTGTATCAAAGGATAGAGCTATAGCTAGTGAGAAATATAATGAACATCAAATCCAATTGCTCCCTCGATCGGCCTTCGTAGATCATGACTTTGTAGATGCTCACCGTACATTCAACAGAATAAAAATAGAGAAATTGCTCAAATGGGCTCAAAAATGCAGTGTTTCAAAATTTTTTTCTTCCTTATCACAGTCAACAATTAACAAATGCTTACTTTGTGTGCCCCACATTACCTTCAAAACATTATCTTTAGCAAATAACTTGTGGAGGCCGTTCTGCTGGAAATTCTTAGCTGAGATAAATAACTATGCCTATTTTTTCCAAGCATATTGCTGACGAGTCTATCCGTTTGCATTCCGTCTAGGGCTCCTTCCAATCGACTTTAGACCAGGGTTAACAGTTCGTTCGCACCGTTCAAACGAGGGGGTCGCACTTGTGATTTTGGGGATAGGGGTCGCTTCTTGGGGTTGAGTTAGGTTAAAGATCATGGAGAAGTGTGAACGGAGGTTGTTCTGAGCGGTTGCCATTTGGACGCGATTTTTTGATGAATTAGGTGAAATAATGAAGCGTGAAGTGACGGATTGACAGATTTGCCGCAGACCAATTCACCATCCCCCGCGCTCGACTGGGGGAGAAATGGGCGGATTTGGGATTTGTCGACTGGTCTCAGAATCAAATTCTATAGAACAGAAATGATGGCAAGAGTGGTGGTCGAAGAGAGGTCGTATTGGGGGGGGGGGGCTCTCAAGTATCATGGTGGTTGGCAACTATCATCGCTGTGCCCTCTTCAACACTACGCTCTCTCACCTATCTAATCACTCGCCACGTATAGACCTGCGGCGAGTGATCAGATGATCGGTGGGCGTGCACTGGCCCACCGCGCCAAGATTGAGCCATAATAGGTCGCCGAGGTCAACTCTTTCGGTGCCAATTGCGCTTCAGTCCGCACCCTTAGGAGGTCCGCGGGTCCCTCAACTAGGTGAATTACTCCTTCTTCGACCTTCATTCTAACCATCCTTTAAAGGGGTGGGGTTGCATTTTGAAACAGTGCAAACATGACGGCTGACCCTACTCCAGAACACACTTTTCATTCAGCGTTGAACATCAAGTATCTAGATTCAACCAAATAATGGTGATGTTGTGAAGGTCAGTTTGGAGATCCATCGTAGCACGTAAGCTTCTCGCAGCATCGCTTCGTAGTGCTTTCTGGGCTTATAAAAGCAGGACTGGTCTGTTATGCTCTAATTTGCAGTAGATAATTCCTAGTCAATTTCACGTAAAAACACCACCGCTCATGCAGTGTACAGGATGGCTGAGAAGTAGGACGCCCTGTACATAATTGAGTATAAAAGTCAAGAAGCGGACGCTATAAACAAACCAACTTACAGAAAGATAGAGTGCGGTTGTGCGATAAATAGGACAAATGTGCTCCAAGTTTGATGATTCTGCTTTGACAGAGGCCTTCTGACGTCCAACGACAAAATCAGCAGTGCGCCGCAGGTAGCCAACGGCGATGTCGTCCCACTCTTCTGAAGCGCTAACTTCAGAGCATCCACCGAGCTGTAGAAGTCTTCTGAGATCTTGCTCTCTCACATCTCAACATAGAAAAGTTCATCAGGTTGAAGGCCTGAGGGGTAGGGGATAGGGAGAGAGGTCACAAATCCTTGCTTCAGTGGCAGGAAAAGTGTGCGTCCAAAACGGCATTGAGCGGT